ATAACTTTAGAACTCACTTTATGACACCAAAAACAAATTAGTTGCAGCACCAAAACGATTCTTGGAAACGTTAAGTAATGTAAAAAACTCAATACAGGTAAGATTATATTTATGTATTTTCAATAATAAGTATTGATCATTCTCCTTTATTCCCGTAGAATCTACATTCAATAGAATTATACAATAAACGAGGAAGTAAAAGCAAAGTACCAATATACCACTTTAAAGGTCTAAAAGCCGATGTAACAATAATCAATGAAGTTGATACGAATTCAGCTAAACCGGTTTTACCTGACGATTTCATCTATGTAACTGATCTTCAATATACTTTACCTGTATTGCCTCCTGATCCCGAATTTTTAATGGCTTGTTCATGTAAGGAATCAGTCAGTTGTACAAATGGCTGTCATGAAGACACTTATGCCTATAACAATGACGGCCTACTTGTGTTACCTTCGGGAAGTGCGATTTACGAATGCAACAAGACATGCTTATGTAGCGCTCATTGTAAAAACAGAGTAGTTCAACGGGGACGTAAAATACCATTAGAAATATTTAAAACAAAGATAAAAGGGTGGGGTGTCAGATCGAAAAACCGTATTAAGCGTGGAACCTTTATTGAACAATATGTAGGTGAAGTATTAACAATGGACGAAGGTGATTTCCGTGGTACAGTATACGATATACTAGAATGCAGCTATTTATTCGATATGGACTTTGCTCAATCGGAATATCCCATTAAATACGTTATCGATTCGTATGTCATTGGAAATGTCAGTAGATTCTTCAACCACTCTTGTTCTCCTAATTTGGAAGTATTCGTGGTATACTACGATAGTGCTGATCCTCAGATGCACAGATTGGCTTTCTTTGCTAAACGAGATATTTCTGAGAACGAGGAGTTATGCTTTGACTATAACGGCCGCTTTGATCTTGAAGCTGTCAATGATACCCATGATCGATATGCCTGTCAATGCAATGCTCGTAATTGTAGACGTTGGATTTACAATTAACAGCTGAAGTGCATTATTAACACATAAGCAAAGAAAATATATAAATGAAGAACTGTTTTAGCTGGATAGAAGTACAATTGGCCCTCACTCTTGTTTAAATCATCATGCGTTTATTGAACTTGGTAAAAAAAACAGGAATAAATAATAAGATTGCTCTTAACTGTATTGTATCATTTACTTTACATGTTTTGGGCAATAAAAATCCAGTGATATTGCAATCATTTAAAGAAATTTAGAGAAATGAAAATTCTTTTAATTATTTACAAAGGTTGTATGTTCTTATTTACGAAAGTCAGATATTGTATAATAAAAGAAATTATTGGGTCTCCGTTTTTTTTTGCATTATATAGACAAAATATTCAGCATCAAGAGCGCACCATTACTTTTAAAAAGCAAGTCATTTTCAGGTGACTGGTGGCAAATAAAAAATGGCAATGTGTGATTCTCTGAATGTAATAGGTTTAGGACATTACAAATGTAAATGGGTCAAAAATATAAAAAATGGAACAAATTAGAAGTAATTGAGTCAATTTGGGCCAAGCAGTCAAAAGTGAGTCGAGTGATTCCAATATGAGCAAGAAATATATCAGTCATAATGATAAAGAGAAAAAAATAGAGACATTTTTAAAAAGTAAAAACGTATTAAATTCAATATAGTAGTCGTTTTCCCATATACCAAGTTGGAGCGCAAAATTATGAAATACAATGGGGGGATCGGTGTCAAAAGGAATAACGGAAGGAAAAATGACTATATCAAAATAGTTTTGATATGAGCCAACTCTTTATAGACATCCTAAATGCTGAAAGGAAGTCATTTTCTTTTTTTCTTTTTTTTTTTTTTGCTAGTATTTTATCAATATGGTATTTTTAATATTAAGAAAAAACCTATGATTTACATTGAAATTAAACAAAGAGTTTTATGTCGTTCATTTATAGAAACCATTACATCTATAGCATTTCCTATTTTTTTTTTTCTTTAATTGAGAAAATAAATACACGAATCATGGATCTTATCCTCCTTAAATTGATTTATTAGCTTGTGTACATTTCTAGAATAACTTTCGTTGTTTATCCAAGTGATTTTTTCTCTTTGATTATTATTGCAGTCTGTTAATAATTATTTATGGTCAAAAGAAAGGAGAAAAACAGGTATAATATATTTTTTATGAATACACAGCCAAGTACTTCCTTCAGTCTCTTTCAAACGCTTCAAAAACGAAAAAAAAAAAAAAAAAAAAACAACTACACCCAAGTACTTCCTTCAGTANNNCCAAACGCTTCAAAAACAAAAAAAAAAAAAAAAAAAAAAAAAAAAAAACCTAGTCATTTTTTAGTCTCCTCTTCCTTTAGTTTTACATCTAGTCTTCATTACTACAAGCTCTTGGTATTTATTTTGGATGCGCATAGAGTGTAATTTTTTGAAAAAAAATTTAAGTAGACATGCTTCTAATGTTCATTTTCTTTTTTACCCTTGCCATTTAGATAATATAATTCAAATGGGAAAAATTTAGTCATTTTTATAATTTTATCTAAAAAAAGTGCTTATGTGCTATCAGTACAACTAGGCGATATTTACAGTTAGTTCTTCAAGTGTAGTGATTTTTTTCAATTTTATGTATAAGAGTTTCATGAGATAATACTATTTCAAGTATTATGTACGGAATAAAGTATACCTATATTGCTATTACAGCCTAATATATATGCATTTATTTTTTTAAAGACGTATACTTTAAACCTAAATCGTTTTGGTCTATCAATAAAAAGAAGAAAAAGAAAAAAGAAATCCTACCTTAATGGTTTGTACCTTGTTTTTTTGAGTGAGTCACCATGCTTTTCCATTAGTGAGAAATACTATGAGTAGATTAAAAGCCCGTGCTACGCTTCTATAATGACGTGAATTATCTAGCTGCATTCAACAATAGATAGCTTTATAAATTTATGATTGTTAGTTGAAGCTTATTATTTTATATTTTCTTTACACATGGATCCTAAAGACGAAAGAGTTACAAAAACATGGAGTAAATCTGTGTAAGAAACTTTTCGATAGGTGCACTCAGTTTGATTAAGATTGATTTATTACGTAAATAATAAACAAATCAACCACAATAATAAGTGGTTCTTCAAAAAATCAAAAAGGAAGAAAAATAACTCTATTGATAATTCATATAATTTTTGAAGATTCTGGAGCTGGACATTCGAAAAATACTAAGCTTTTTCACTCTTGAATTTTCAAGCTAGATAATAAATAGAAATGGAAATATAGAAAAATCAATGCTTTTATTGATTCGATAAAAAAGTGATTAGTGTCATAAACATTTTCACATATCGATTCCAATATCTTTTTTCTTATACTGTCTTTTTCAAGAAAATGAGAAAAATTTTCAAAATATTGAGAAAAGCTTGAATATTTAACAAGAAAATGCTGATTGACTAAAAAGGGAGACTAAGGTGAGAAGACTAAAGGGGGTATGAGCTCATGATCCAACTCAATGAATGATAACACAAGGAGTTATATTTAAAATGAATGTTCTTCTCATTTTTTATTAGCAACTGTAATTACTACCTAACTTATTCTAGGATAAAGGGTTTTCTCCTTAAAATATGGAAAAAATAAGCATCGTTATCTTGGAATAGGTAAAAGAATAATTGATATTATTAAATTATTAAGGCGGTTTTTTGCTTCCTTCATGAACATTACAGCAAACAATTAATAAAAATAAAACGCGGTTATTTATCAAAGTAATTTATGCAAAATTAAAATGGACATATTTTCTTCTAAAAATATAAATGAGGTTTGAAATTTTTCTTCTAGATCTAATGTATAAAACATGAACAGCTTTTTTTAGCGTCGTGTTTTTTCAATGTATTCACTATTATATGCAAATGTATTTCTTTAAAAAAAAAATCCAGATCTACGCTTAGATCAATGATACCAAGGGGGTAGCCCTCTCTTTGGAAGACAAAAATGGAAATTGTAGGGAAAGTAAAACCGATTTAAATAATAATAAAAAAGTCAGTTTCATTGTTATTACCTGCAAAATCTTTAAGTCGTTGGGTGCCGTTTTTAATGGTGATAATAAAGAGTATCCATTGGGTTTTTTTTGTCTTTATCTTTCCATTATTTTATCTTTAGCCTTTGTGAGGAAGTGGTTTGATTTCTATTTGTGGTATATATTTCCTGGCAACTTAATATAATGATTGTTGATGAAAAAAAAAAAATGGGCTCGTTAAAGAATATAAGTTCTCAAAAAAATCTTTGGTGCTGACTCGTAACGGGAACGAACAAAGAAAATGATCACACATAAATAACATTCACTTGCAAATATGATGACATATTTGTTCACTCGGGTAAGTGACTAAAAGGCTATTATGATATTCATAAATAGACACCATTTACCAAAAAAAAAAAAATAGCATTCTGTGATTCGTTATTCAGGTAAAATATCCATATTCCAATAAACAACCTGTTTCTTGGTATATGTAGCATTGAAGAGAAGAAACAAAAGTTTCCAAATCACGAATGTTTCTATATTGTATTACGATGGTGGCTTTATTTTGATTATATTATTTGTTCAGATCTAATTTTATGTGGTTTTCCATTTGCCTAATTATTTATATTTTGGCATACTCGGATGTGACCACTCATCTAAAGATGTTCATACACCATGTAAAATAAAGACTGTTCACTCTCTTTTATAGCTTCGACATACTTTTAATGTGTTGGTTCATTTTACTTGAGCTACACTTGATTGATGCATTGATTGTAACACTGATCCGTTCCATAATTTTTGTTCCAGGATTTCTATGTTCGAAATAGGGAGTGTTCTATTTCTTTTTAAATTACAAAAGAAAGCATACACACATGATAACTAGGGTTCTTTTTTCTATGGCTTGCTGATAATACAATTCTCTAAGATAATTAAAATTTTCATTATTTATTATTAAAAAAAGCATCCTTATTTTTGATATGAATAAAAAATAGCAACGTTGTATGCAACATTGACTTTTAAATAAACCAATACCTGGGTTGATTGATCCACTCCTTTGGTTGTGTATCGTTTCTAAAAATAATGTATCTTCTTTAAGAAGAAGTATCAGATAATGAAGTCGCACGATTATTTAGTGCATAAACTCTATTCCAACATCTTCTCATTTCATTTTGTTTATCTCATGATACATCGGAGATAATTTTAGTGTACAAAGAAAGCATGTTTTGTTTTTGTAGATATCCTTCACTGGTGAATAATAATCAACAGGGATAGATGTTAATAAATTATATCAATCATATTAACCATGCTAATAAAAATAAAGAGTATCTATAATACAAAGTGAAGTGAATAAAAGAAACATTATATAGTGTTCATTCATTTGAGAACATGTTTGTGTTTTCTTTGTGATACCTCTCCTTAGAAAAATGTTCATTGTGACATTTTGACAGCAAGTGTTCAAAATATTAGTTTCTATGGTATAACCAGTCCTTTATGAATAGCTGATAGTGGTATACCTGCATCATCCTCATTGAAAATAATATGTCTTGGTAAACTGTTATAAAATATAGAAATAGTATAGTACAATTGAAAAAGAAGCTCTTCACTAAGGTCCACTTTCAGAGGTAAAAAAAATGGAATGGGGCTCATTAATGTTATTTAATTTTTTTAAAAAAGAAATAATCTACTTGATGTTCATGCACTTTCAAAATAATATAGAAATAAAAATAGCCAAGATTTATGGCACCATTCAAATATCATTTTATAAATGAATATTCATCTACAATCAAGTACCTTTTTTGATTGACACGATGGTTATTCCGAAGGTTATTTTCTTTTAAAAAAAAAATAATGTTATCATTAATATTCGGAATAGGTCCTTTCAAAATTAGTACTACACATGCTACTGTCGCATGTACAAAAGTGTTCTTAGTTTAAGTATCTTTTTAGAAAGATAATTTTTATGTTCTCAAGAAAGAAAATGAGGTCTATGAGCAAATGTATTTACATTTAGAAATTTTTTTTCATCAAATGATATAAAGAGCATTATATTTATCAAATGGTTTCATTTGTGCAATTAAGAAGGTGTATGACAATCGAT